GGGAGGGAGGGAGGGAGGGAGGGAGGGAGAGAGAGAGAGAGAGAGAGAGAGAGAGAGAGAGAGAGAGAGAGAGAGAGAGAGAGAAGAGGAGAGAGATCCCCAAGGCCAGTCTGTAGTGTTGTTACTGTAATCACTACTTAGATATAAAGAATTCCTTTCTCTGAGGGCCCAAAATCAGTGTGACATAAACCACCTGACCTGGACTTCCAATAGTTTCTTTATATGGTTAACAGTGCTTTGCCCCCACTTGACAATTGGCAGAAGTAAGGACCCAGGGTAGTAAATTACCCCTGATCATGAAGTCAATGGATAATGCCACTGAGATTAGAACTAGTAGGCTTCCTGCTTCCCAGTTCAGGGCTATTACCACTTGTCCTGTGGCATGAAGCATGAAACTCCAGGAGCCTCTCTGGGCTTGAATTTTCTCCAGCCATCAAATAAGATGCAAGGCATATTAGGAATGCTGGTGGTTGTTGTGTGCTATGAATTGGTGCTGATGATTTTTAAGGAGCAAATTCTGCATGCAGATTGGGGTGAAGAGGTCCTTCCCATGGGTGCTAGAATACAGTGAGAACTCTTGATGAAGACTTCCTAATAACCTGGTGTTTCCCGTACCTCCCTCCTTGTGGGATATGATGATAGTGTCATTTGCAGGGCTGTTCCCATCTTGAGCAGTCTCTTGCCTGCTCTCTCTCCCTGTCCTGCAGTGTGAATGTCACCCTCCTGTCATTTCTTCACAGCCTCAGGAGGATGCATTCCGTACACATGGCTGTCCTTATTAGCACATCACCACAGGCACTGTTAGTGGTTAGCAGGAGCTACAGGGAGCCCCACCAACAGCAAAGGCAGCTCCTTGAAATCATTTTTTCTGTAGTCACAGTTCGGTTGGCTTGGGTAAGAAGTTGCTTTGTCTTGTCATGCTCTTATCAACAAACTGGGGTCCTTGGCTATAAAACTCTATCATTTAGAGTTTACAGTAGATTTGGAAGGATGAAGTTAGGCTAAAGTGTGACACGTATCTGGTGGCACTTGGAAAGGTGAGTTAAGTAGTTCATTGCTCCCCAGATGCTTACTGACAGTACTGAGATTACAGCTTAGCCTTGGAAACTCTATGATCCGTTATCTCCTGTCAGTGTTGAAAGTCAGACCCACTTTAAAAGTAAACTTTCTATACCAGGCAGTAATTTATTGTCTGAGGTAGCCCTTCTATCAGATTATGGAATCAAGCCATCAACAATGTGGTGGACAAAAAACCTGACCCAATTATCATTTCAAACCCTTAGCACCTTACATACAGAGGTCCACATATAAATATATTCATGTTTCAGCTTATACTCATTTGATAACTTTAAGCTAAAGGTACCTTTATTTTATTTTGCATGTATGGGGCGGTGTTTATGTTAATGCAAAGGCCAGAGGTCAACTTTGGTGTCATTCTTCAGATGCCATCCAGTTTGTTTTTTGAAACAGAGTCTCGTCATTAGGCTGGAACTTAGACTAAGATGGCTGGCTAGCAAGCCCCGGGGATATACCTGTCTGCATCTCCCCAGTGCCGGAATTAAATATGAACTTGGGCCACCATGCCTCATGGTCACATTCTTTCTCTCTCCCGCTCCTTTACTTTCTAGCCTAAAGTGTGTGTGTGTGTGTGTGTGTGTGTGTGTGTGTGTGTGTGTGTGTATTTGTATGTTCTTGGAATCAACTCAGGCCCTGAAGTGTATGTGGCAAACACTTTACCAGCTGATCTATTTCCTTGACTTCTTCCTGAGA